TGAGTCCTGCTTCATCAGTCCAGATTTTTCATCTCTAAAACCACAGAAGAGAATGCAATACGGTAGACTGCTATTTAAATGAAATTTTTATAAGGTTTTCTGGATATTTCCCCAAATGCACAGACAACAAAAGCAAAAATAGACAAACAAGATTATATCATACTAAAAAGCTATGCAACCACAAAGAAAACAGTCAACAAAGTGAAAACAACCAGTAGAATGGTAGAAAATATTTGCAAACCATACATCTGCTAAGGGGTTAATACCCAAAATATAAAAGGACTCAATAGTAAGAAAACAAATAATCCAAGTAAAAAATGAGCAAAGGACCTGAGTAGACATTTCTCAAAAAGGTATACAAATGTCTAACATCTACATGGAAAAATGCTTAGCATCATTAATCATCAGGGAAATACAAATTAAAACCACAATGAGATATCACCTCATAACTATTAGAATGGCTAACATAAGACAAAAGATAAGTGTTAAAGAGCATGTGGAAAAAAGGGAATCCTTGTACATTCTCGGTGGATTGTAAATTAGTTTAGCCATTATAGAAAAAAGTGTGGAGGTTCCTCAAAATAATTAAAAATAGAACTACCATATGATCCAGCAACCCCAATAGTGAGTACGTATGCAAAAGATATGAAATTGGTATGTTGAGCTATCTGTACTCCCATGTTCATTACAGCATTATTCGCAATAGCCAAGATATGAAATCAACCTAAATGTCCAATAGCAGGTTAAAGGATAGGATATGGTATATGTATATAATGGAATACTATTCAACCTTAAAAAGAAACAAATCCTGTCATTTGTGACAACATGGATGAACCTGGTTGACATAATATTAAGTGAAATAAGCCAGGCACAGAAAGACAAATACGATACGATCTTATTTACATTTAGAATGTAAAAAAGCTAAACTCACAGAATCAGAAAGTAAAATGGTAGTTATCTGAGGCTAGGGGTAGTGGCATTGGGAGATGTTGGTCAAAGGACACAAAATTTTAGTTAGGAGCAATAAATCCATAAATCCAAGAATATATTGTATATAACATAGAGTTAAAACTAATATATTGTATATTTGAAAATTACTAAGAGAATAGATTTTAAGTGTTCTTACCACACACACAAAAAATGATAAATGATGTGAGCTAATGCCTATTTAAATAGCATCATTTAGCCACTCTACAATGTATACATATATCAAAATACATGTTGTACACCATAAATATATATGATTTTTACTTGTCAATTAAAAAATAAATGAAATACAAATTAGAGAAAGTGGAAATAAAAAAACTAAGTTTTTATGCAACCCAAAATGTAAAACAATTTTTTAATTGCTATATTTATTATCAGTATATGTTATTTTTAAATTTTAGATTCCTAATATTTCCGTACTATAAATTCAGTCAAAAAGACTTGCAAGTCTTTTGAGGAGTATAACATTTAAAAATGTAGTTCGGATAAACATCATTATTATGTCAGCCCTCAAATCCGGTTATATTGTACAACTAAGAGAAAATACTGCTGAGAAATCTTAAGATAGGTAATTATAATCTTTTTTTAAACAGTTCACTCTTTTATCTCAGGATACTCTAAATTAAATAGGAAAAAAATACATAAAATGCTGTAATCTGTCAGCATACTTAATGCATTTATAATTTCCAATGTTAAAAAAAAACTTGGTATATTTTTAATGTGTAGTTTTCCATTATCTGTGTCTTTGTGTAAAATTTTAATAAAAATCGTATGGAATGGCATAAATACTACTATGGGTATACAAGGGGTATAGATTTTTCTTGGAACAAAATATGAAACCCCACAAAAAATAAAAATGAAGACAAATATTTATTGGGTACTTACTTATATATTTAAATCTAAGTTTATGAAGTGGGGAAAAACATTTAAATTTTTTCTGGTTTAATTACAAGAATATTAGAATCCTTGATAACAGGTTATTTCTTAACATATAAGATTTTATTATATAAGACTTTAAACCAATATATAAAAACAACATCAACTTCTTTCTTTCTACTAGACTAGGGTTTCTTAGCCTTGACACTACTGAGATTTGGGACTAGATAATTCTTTGTTGTTGGGGGGTGCTGTCCCATGTGTTGTAGGCTGCTTAGCAGCATATCTAGCCTCTACCTACCAGATGCCAAGAGTACCCCCCTCCCAAGCTGTGACAACCAAAAATGTCTCCAGACATTGCCAAATTTGCACTAAGCGCAAAACTCCACCATTGAAAACCATTGCACTAGATCATTCTCATGAACACATATGCATATTCCAGTATCTTCGATCTTAAAACAATTAAATATGTCCTTAATCCTACATTGTCTTCTAGCTGAAACCTCAATTATTTGCCTGCCTTCAAAGCTAAAATTCTAGAAAGAGATGTATATATACCCTGGTTCCATACCTCCAATGAAATACTTATGATACTGCAATTTAGTTTCTATACCACCAATCTATGGCAACTGTTCATTGAGGCACTAGTGATCTTCATCTTGACCACTCCAGTGAAGACTTCCCTTTCCTCATTTCAGCGGACTTTTTCTGTAGCATTTGGATTAGCTGGCTACCCTTTTCTCTCTCCTTTGACTTCTGAACACTGTATTCTACTGTTTTCCCTACTATAATCTATCTGCTGCCACATTGCACTCTTTCTTCTCTAGACTTAATATTAGAGAATGTCAGGGCTTGGTCTAGGCCTTTTGACTATTTATATTCTCTCTATATGTGGTTTCATATAAGCCCCTGACTTCAAATACCTATCTATGAGCTGATTACTCCCAATATATACCTCGAGCCTAGACTTGTTCCCTTGAATCTAGGCACATTTATGCAATTTCCTAATTGATAGTGACAGTTACATAATTCATGGGCATCTCAAAATTAACATGTTGAAAAATGAGTTTTTAATAGATGTAACTCCACTCCATACAACTTTATCCTCTGTATTTTTCCCCAAGCCTGTAAATGGTACCACCATCTACTCACTTGCTCATTTCAGGAAAAAGAAAAATCAACCACCTTGAAGTCATTTTTTATTACTCCTTTCTTTTCATCTGCGATTTCCCTAAGTGTCACTGAGCCCTGTGTTTTCCAACTCCATAATATATCTAAAATATATCTACCTTTCTCTGTCTCCAGTACTGTCACTCCAGACCAAACCACCACAATCTCTTACCCGGCACACTGCAGTTGCCAGGTCATCCTTGTTCCATTCTTCCCCACACCCAAACCATTCCCTCCCCAGGAGCTACAGCGGTCTCTTATATCACTCTTTTGCCTCAAATAACGGAATAGTTTCAGGTTAGTTATGGAATAAAATTCAAACCCATTTCCACTGCTTAAGAGGGTGCCTGCCTCCCTAACTTCACCCCTTCCCACTTCATGACCATGTGCCAGAATGGCAGGCCTCTTCTCTGTCACTGAAATGTGACAAAACTACTCTCCTACTGGGCCTTGGCATTCATTTGATCCACTGCCAGAAACACACTTCCTCTACTCTTCTCATCACTTGTCCCTCAGGGCTCGCCTTCCAAGTGGCCTTTTTGGACAGAGCTTCCCTGGCCAGCCACTCTAAGGGGGCCTGCTCTATATACTGTACCTCTTAAGGTAGTTCTTACCTTCATGACACGTACTACAATCCATAAGCACCCTTGCACTTTCTGATGTGCTCACATGTTTACACATCTGCCTGGTGTACAGAAAATGCCTTGGTGCTTGACACTTGCTACAATGGACTTCACTGAGATTTCACTATTCATAAACCCATCACTGAGTACTGAGCTACTATCAAATGCCTAGGACTGAATCAGGCTTTTGAATAGCAAAAAGAAACGAAAGTTCAAAGTAAATAAAACTGTATTACCATATTAAATAAATTTATTAAATGTGTCTGATTCACCTGAATACTTTTTTGAGAAATTTTAAATTTTATTTCAAAGCAGGGTAGTATGTGGCCATAGGAAAGTAAAGAGAAATGTATATTAAATATAAGTCCAATCTGGCCTAGGTTGTTTATATAATGCCAAGCATATGAATGAAAACTAAAACAAACTATAAATCATATATTACAGGATTTGCTTATATATATTATGCATATAATATGCATGCATGTTAATTTTATCATTCTCTTTAAAATACAGCTATGTCTCTATGTAGATCTGTAAATTTTATTTGTTAATAATCTTATATACATTTATATGCATTTACAACCATTAACTATATTTCAATTTCCAACCATCCTGGATTTATTTTAGATGTCCATCTTCTAAGAGAGCTTTTGAATGGTTCTCAAATGTTAATATATCATTGAGCTTATTTGAAACTACCTAAATAGAAATAAAAGGCAAAAGAGATATCAAAACTAAGCTCACTGTCTTTCACTCCGTAAAACCTATAACTTCTCTATTACTGATCAGGCTCTGCTTTTTATTCATTTATGTATTTATTCAAGAAGCTTTCAAGAGCACCGACCATGAGGACCTCACTTTACTATCATTCTTTTTCATCTGCAAATCCCTTTTCATTCCACCTCTCTCCCTATCAGTGTCTTCTACATGAACGACAATTCTAAATATTTTTTCAGGAAGGCCTTGCCTGTTCTCCAGAGAGTGGAATGTTTCATACGTTATGATCCTCATGTGTTCTGGAGGTGCTTTTGTACTAGAAAAAAACTCAACTGATTTATCACAACTAATCCATCTTTCAAATAATTATCAAGGCATTTATTTAGGCCCTAAAAACTAAGGTAAAGTTCATGCTCTTCATTTTTAAAGTCGGGGAGAGAGACGGACATGAAAAGAAATAATTGTGATATAAAGTGGTAGTGTAAAATTTAATACAAACATAGGTTTATTATCTTCTTTCTTCCCCATGGGAGGAGGGAAGACATGGCAATGCACGTAACACAGTGTTCTGCACAAGGTTGTTAGCCAGCAGTATACGGGGGAAGAAAGAAACCAAACGTAACTTACCGAGTGTCCGGAAAGGTCTCTGATTTGGTAAGTGGGAGAAGAAACCAGGCTTCAATGCATTTGTAATCACAATGTCAAAAAGGTCTGCAAAATCATTCCTAAAAGCCACAAAAGTTTTATAAATTTAAGAATTAGAAAAGGTCCATATAAAACACAACTTGATCTTTGCTTATCTATTTTACCTTTCTTTTGATTAACGTTTATATCCTTTATATTTTTCTTAGACATTTTAAGGTGAACATTCCACTGGAAATAGAAGGTGGTTGAGTACCAGTCTCCCTGACAACTCTTTGAAGTATAAACATAATCAGGAAAAAAAAAAAAAAAAGAAAGCAGCACATTGACTCTAGGTACCAAGATGGTTTTGGTAGTGGACTTGATAGTTTCTAATAGCTGAAAATATTTGGAAGATCTATCTTCAAATTTGGGGGCCTGAAATTGGCTAGATTTGTTAGCTTGAAGAGTTAACAATTTTTTGTGTTATATGGGTCCCACAGAAAGCAGCATTATGGCAAGTCATGGTCATCTTTCAGAGAGTACTTCAAATGTGAAGAAGATACTTTATTTGGCAATCAGTATCGTCTTATAATGTGGTTATTTTTATACAACAATAATTAATTATTTTAAATCTGTACTTAATATTATATTAAGGATTATTTTTGATGGCAAGAAAAGGTAGCCTTTCTCCTGAAGAACTCACTATTACAATAGGGGAAACAATATTTACCCAACATTCCAGAATACTTTTACAAATCAAAAGAGCAATAAATAGAAATTAAGATGAAGAAAGACTTTGGTTATCTATGCTAAAGAAAAAGGAATTAAAATCCTCAGTATTTATTCTAAAGCATGGGCCTACGACTAGGATAGCAAATGTCCCTATGAGAGGCACCTTCCAAGACATCCAGGAGTTTAGCCTTAATTTACCCAAAGGATGCACTATTATGTATCAGCCTATATATTATTCATCACTAGGGTTCGGCTTTTGTTTTTGTTTTTGAGACAGAGTCTCCTTCTGCTGCCTGGACTGGAGTGCAGTGTAGCATGATCATGATTTCCTTTAGCCTTAAACTCCTGGGCTCAAGTGATCCTCCCACCTTGGGCCTCTGAAAGTGCTGATTACAGGTGTGAGCCACCGTGCCTGGCCACCACTGGATTTCTGATTAAGCTAATGAACTAACCCTAACCACCACTGGAAGTACCATTCAACCTCTGGACAACTTCTCATTGTGAACTATAACTCAATTTAATAATAGCTTAAACATTAAGGATATTTATTATTTGCAACCTAAAGCATCTTGATTCAGAAAATATATTGCACGAATATCATAACCAGACCAAAAATAATAAAAGAGTATGTTGCAATATGAGAATAATATTCAAAGACCAAAAACAAAAAGTTATTGCTTTTTAAATATTTTGCCCTACAAGAACTTCTGCGTGTGAATCTCTAGGATCTCATTTGAACATACCAGAGGCTATAGCTATATAATAACCCTTAAAAAAATTACAATACATTCTCTCTTTTCCAGGGAAGAGGAAGTACTAGTAAGAAAAGAACAGGTTAAGAAACAGATGACAATAATAAATCTAAATAGCCAAGAATAGAAAAGTTTGATTAGTGGATGACTGTTAATTTCAGAGGCTATGTCTCTCTAAGAACTTACTATACCTAAGGGAATCAGATGTGAGATTATTTCACTTACAAAAACAAAGCTTTTGTAGCAAGAAGAATTTTATGGACTACATAAAAAATTTATAGTATGAAATGCTGAAAACACTTATAGACTTGTTTTCAGAAAACTTGAGAAAAAGTTATTTTTCTTAGCTATATGTGCTTAGTACCATCTAGTGATTAAAATATAAATTACTATTAAAAAGCTACTGTTAACATTTCCAAAGGAATAAAAATATAAGGCCTATGCATTTAAATACCATATTTTACATTTCTTACCTAGGTTAATTTCATTAGTATCTCCCAATTAGTAATGTCTGATTCAAAAGAGTGTAAATATAACAATTTAATCAGATAAAATTATTCTCTGAAGTTATAACAGAGATGTCCTTGTTTTGTTCATAAGCCAGACTGAAATGAACAAACTAAAAAAGACAAGCCCTGTATAAATACAAACCCAATGGTAGATTATGAGTTGCTTTTATTACAAAAGATCACTGGCTGTCATGGAGAAAATATTTTTGTCCCCTTATAACTGCAAATTATTAAAGGAATAGGAGACATAATTATATAAACAGAAACATCTTTTTATTGAAATAAGTCAAGGTATTAAATCAAAGGAAGAGTTATGTTAAACATACTACAATGAATTATAATTGTCTATTAAATTATATCCCCAAAGAAACTATGAACTTTGAAAGGCAAGAAATATATCTTTCTGCTTGGCATGGAGCAAGTATTCAATGTATGAATACCTAACTTAATACAGGAGCAGACACAGGAACATTTATGTCTCCTTACATTCAAGGCAAGAGTGTGATTAGTACCATACAGCCAACTGGAGTGATAAAAATGGTATTATTCATGTACGATTAAGGTAGCCTATGAAAAAAGTCATGTTTAATTACGATACTAATTAACACCGATTGAACAAAATGGAATTTAGACTTAAGATGGAAAGGAATGGTATTGCTTGTTCTTAACTCACAAAGAAGTCTGTGTTTTCACTTAACCTCTAAAGGAATTCTATTTCACTGCCACTTTATGTAACTTATTTTCCTGGTTTTTCCACTACTCTTACATCCTTTGATGCTGGTATTTTCTGGGTGCAGAAGAAATTTAAAGGAAATTCTTTTAAAAATCTGATTCTAAAGAATAAAAGTTGAGCTCTCCTAATGTTAAAAAATTGGTTAATATAGAGTCATAGAAATAATAGCAAAGTGTTACAACTGTCTGATATGCATATTAAATGGTCTGAATACACCAAAAAGGATTTAGGGACCTCTTGTGGTAAAAAAATATAGTACAACCTGAATATTAAAAATACTTTTTTCAGTTTCACAGACACTTGTGCCACATCACTATTTCTATCATCACTGAATAAGCTTTTTCTTGTTAACTGTATCACTACTGTTTGCATGATTTTTGGACAGAATCTTCAAAGCTGCTGTCTGTGGGGACTAGAGATGCCTGGATGCTAACACCTCCATGGTCAGCTTCCAAATAAGGTCTGTTGTTGTTTCCATTGCAGAATATAATTTAGAAGCGATTTAAATATTTACAACCTTTACAAGTTATATAAAAGTATGCTAGTGAACAGCTAAAATGTTTAGCTATGAACTGTTTAAATGTACTTGCTATAGGGATGATATAATGATTTTTCTGAAAAAAAACCAAAAAACAAAAACAAAAAACAAAGAACAAAAAACTTTTTTCTTTGCTAAGAGACACTGAAATATTTGTTAAAGGGCAAAAAGGATAAATTTATTTTGTTTCTTTATAGGTGGTAAAAATAAATTAAAACAGATTTGCTGTTTATATAACAAAATACACGGTTTATATCTAATATTTTATAACTAAAGAAATCTAGAATATTTAGATTGTGTAAAGTGAAAATCTATATGCTAAATATAATGCTTGGAAAATCTCTCAAATAAAAACTGGAAAATGAAGTACAGAATACATGAGAAAAAGACAATTTATAAAATTTACATTTTAATAATATCGATTTCCAGTTCTGTAATTTAACTTACATATCCCTGCCCTATTCCAAAAATTCTGATTTCATTGGTCTGGAGTAGGGCCACAACACTGCTATTTTTTTTTAAAGCTTCCAAGGTAATCCTAATGTGCTACTAGGACTAAGAATTGTTGCCCTAAAATATACAAACTAGAATTCTTACTATTATTATCTGTGTATTTTGCCTGCGTCACTGGAAATCATAGGCTTAACTAACATATAGCTTTACACTGAATAGGTAATCAACAAATATTAACTGCTACCAAGTTATCTTAAATGTCACTGTGATCTTTAAAATGTTTACTCTTACTCTACACCAATTAAGCATGGTATTCTAGATTGTGAAAACAGAATGCCAGATTTCATAACTATGAATGGAGGATTCCTGAAAAAAAATGTATAGTATAAAATTCTTTGAAAGAAAAATTATTCAAACAGTTTAAATTAGTATAGACAAGCCAAAGAAACTCCTTTCTCTCTCCAAAGCCATCAAACTGCCAGACTCTGGGTTGAATACAGTCTATAAATATGATTTGGGGTTCATGGTATTTTAAAATTTTTGGATGTTAATGTCCTTGGACAATATTACATATGTATTCTAGTAGTTTACCCACAATCCCACCATACCATATCAACTACACTTGGCCTAGTCAACTCCCCTGTTGGCATCAGTTTACAACCTAGGTTTTCTCCCATGAAATCAGAATGAGTCATTCTAAAAGAACCAAGTTTTCTCTTTCTGACATGGTTACTGGTCAGACAATGTACATGTGGAGAGAGGTTTTTGAATGTCTGCCTGATCCTATCCAAAATACAACAAATCCTTTAATAAGGACACTGACAGCTGGGAGGGTCAGCAGATGCATCTGATGACAGGACCACATATAATAACATCTGGTCGACAAGGAGACAGAGTGAGGTAAAATTTCTAGAAAGTCATGTGCCATGGAAGATGTGCCACCAATCTGAGACTACCTGAGATGCTGTGAGGAATAGGTTAGATGAAGAATTTGTGTTGTAGGTAGTCCAACTGCCAGCCCCAGCTGAGTGCTGAGCTAAAAGCTTCAACTGCAAGACATATAGTGAGCCCCCTTGGACATCTAGCCCAGTCATGCCTTCAGATGACTGCTGTCCCAGCTGACACCTGACTACAACCGCAGGAGAGACCCATATGAGAAGAACCCAACTAAGCCTAGAATCATAAGTGACATAATAAATTAAAGTTTTAAGCTACTGAGTTGTGTGTAGTGGTATCTTATGGAGCAGTACATTACCTAACCAAGATGCTTTGGAATGAAGTCACAATTTTAATTATTATCTCTATGCAATTCAAGATGAAATATTTACAAATCCTTTTAGAAACAGCTGGAATAAAAGTAAACAGGCTTTAAATTGTTTTTCTTCACTTCCAAAAAATAACTCAAAGGTTTCTATTGCATATAAATTAGCAAAATATAAACACACAAAGAGCTTATGTCAGCATAAATGTTTCAAACAGTTTAAAGAAAACCAAAATTAACAAGTATTTAAAGCAAATTCTACATACTTATTACTTCTCACCTAGTTCAAATATGAAACACTTAGAAACTGAAATTTATATTCGATTGCTGAAATACAGAGTGATTACAGCAGTAAAAAATGAATATGCTGGAATGTTTATTCCCGTCTCCCTGCCACCCAATACATCTCAACTTAAATACTTTGGATCTTTCTTAAAAAACTAGATTGGTCTTCAATGAAATATGCATTTTAATGATCACATTTTATCACAAGGGTGCACTGTTTCCTTAATTAATTTAGTTCAAATATGCTCAGTGTCTTCAGAAATGTCTTTTCTTACCAACAAAGCCCAAAGTATGCAGAGCTGTATTTCACTTAGAAGCAATTCATTTCAAAACACACATAAAGATTATAATCACAAAGGATTACTTGTTCAATGTCCAGATAGTGTATTATATAAATAGGAAAGCCCTCTCTAGCCTCTCAGGTCTGTGCCACATCTACACCTTGAATAGACAGAACAGTTAAGCAGCTATTTTAATGAGGCATTACTCTGCTTTTCACTATACTTTTCCACCTGTATATGTATCACATCAGTTGTATCTTCTATATGTTTTCATAAAATATCACCTGGTTAGTTACTCATGGTAACAAAAGAAAAAGGAAAAAAAGAACATACTAAAGTTTCAAATCAGTGAGATTTTAACTCAGACAATTGTTTTGACAGAGCTATATTAACTTTTTAATATAAAATTTGAAATAGAATTGGTAAACTACTATTAGAATGATGAAATAATTTCTTGGATATAACAAACATAAATATATAGGATAGTATGTGTAATATTCTGCAACATTGCTTGAGGAGTAATAATGCCCTAAACCTGGGTTTTTATCCTAAAATCCATACATGGGCCTCAATGGATGAATGAAACCCCAATACTCTGGAGCATTTTGTTCATCAGTGTGTTATGTGTGTTGGGGAATGAGAGGAGGTGCAGGCGTTCTAGCTTTAATTAGATTCCTGAGGGTAGGGATGTGAAGAACCACAGACTTATATTCTCCTAGATTTGCACAGTACAACAAAGCAAGCATTCCAATATCCCTCCCTTTGTTATGGTGGAGAAAAGTCTTATAAACATGTCTTAGAAAAAGGAAATTCTTTATAATAGGTAGTATAGAATTTGTACACAATTTGTCCAGGAATAAAATACTCCCTGGGCTCTGTATTTTTCACTGTAAATGTTCTAAGTCCAATACATTTATACTTATTTAGGATGGCTAACAAATGGCTGTTGTAGCTCAATTAATTTGTAAGTTAATTAAGAATAACCAAATATACAATATAAAAACACACATAAAACATAATAAACTCTTAATATTGAACCCATACAGAAAAAAGAACTATTTAAGGGGATTTAAGTATTACTTTTTTTTATGTGATGATACACTTTTGCTATAGAAAATTCATTGTATTGGGTTTTTTACTGCTGCACAACTAAGCACCTCAAACATGGTAGCTTAAAATAACAGTGTATTATTATCTCTCCTGATTCTGAGGGTTGACTGAGCTCAGCTAGGCATTTCCCACTTGGAGTCATGCCTGTCGGATGTCACTGGGTATGGAATCAACTAAGGGTTTCTTCACTCACTGTCTAGCACCTGGGCTGGGCTGGCTGGAACCGTACGAGCTGGTGAAACAAACATCTCTCCACTTGGCTAGCTTGAACTTTGTCACTGCATTTGGGTCTCAGGGTAGTTGGACTTCTTAAATGGTGGCGAGTTTCCCCCAGAGCAAGTGTTTTAAGACAAGCAAAAGCTGCAAGGCTCCTTATGACCTAGTCTCAGGAGTTTTACAGTAGCACTTCCACTGAATTTTACTGGTGATAGAAGCCCAGCTCATTTTCAAGGAGAAGAAAACAGAAAGGTGTGAATTCCGGGAGACATGACTCATTAGGGAGCTATCTTTGCAGACTAGCTATCAAACATACTAACATTTCTGTGTGATTCCTGCCAGTATATTTTCTGTTCATATGTAACTGTGGGAATTTTAGGCATAGCATATATAATTTTTTTACCTGTGTTTTTGTTCAGCATTGCATGTGAGGAATTTCCTATGGCATGAACATTTATTTTAAAACATTTCTATCATTTTAATTTAATACCACATTTTAAAATAGGTTATTTATAATAATTATCCTTATAATAATAACTGACATACTCTGAGTACTTATTTTTGTCAACCACAGTTCCAAGGCCTTTAAAACTATTAATGGATTTAATCCTCATAATGACCCTGTGAACAGGTCCTATACTATTCTCATTTTGCAACTGAGAAAACTGAGATACAGAGAGACTAAGGAACTTGCCCAAAGTCACATAGCTACCATGTGGCAGAATCAGGATTTGAATGCAGCCAGTCTGCTTTTAGAGCTTGTGCAATACTGCCTCTCCAGCTACAAGGCATTCGGGGACTCTATAGTAACTACAGGGTCATCACAAATCCTTACTCTTTCTTTTTTTTCCCCACATAGTACATTATTATGTAGTATTAGAGTTCAGGGGCTTTAGGGTTGATTAGAATTTTAATAGGTGAGAGTTTAGAATTTGGATAAAGTCAGACAAATCAAATTAGCTTCTTTTTGAACTTTAGACATAAATTTATTTAAAATCTTGCAATGTGGAAAGCCTTTTAAGCATGGCACTGAACTCAAAAGCCATAAAAGAAAATTGAAACATCAAATTAGGTTTCCACAGAGGAAAAAAGTATCCATCAATATGCATTCTAATTAAACCTAGAGCTAAAAGGAGCCTCAGAAATCATATCCTTCAACTCTGTCATGTTAAAGATGATTAAGTAGCCACATATTTTGCTCAAAATTACGGTTAGTAACAAACTTGGGTATGGAATAGAGTCCTCAAGAATCCTAGTTCACTATACCTCATCATTTATGTGTCGACATCTACATATTTGAGATCTAACTTATTTGGTGACCATTACCTATTAAAGAAAAATAACTTGCATTCAGAAGCAGAAATTAAATGCTTTAAATGGTATGCCCGTTTAGCGCTGTAATTATTGGATAATAATTATAAAATTCAATTGTGCTTTTCCTTGGGCTTTCTATAGAAGTTCTTTGTAGCCATTAAACTGATATTGTCTCTGCTATTATCTGGGAACTCAGAGTTTCCACTGAGATGGAGAAAAAAACAACCAAATAAATGCCTCAGATTAAGGAAAAAATATTATCTCCCTTCCTGGAATACACTGCCCTCCCTCTGCTGCCTGGTGAACCTTGGAGGCTTGTCACAAGGTTACCTTCTATGAGGAGCCTGCCCCAATACCCGCTTTGCACATCAATGATGGCATTCATCATGTTACACTGTAATAAACACTTATAATAAGCATATTTATATACTTTCTTCTGAGACTCTGAGATCTTTTAGGAAAAGAACCATCTTAACATTCATGTTTACACTCCTAATATCAGGTAAATATCAGATGATTCCTAACTACAGAAGTAAGTATGTGTGGAAAAAAGCTACCAGGCAAGACTTACCAGGTGACCATAAAAACCAGAGGTTGGCAAACCACAGCCCACAAGCTAAGAAAGGTGCTTACATCTTAAAATGCGAATACAAGTATCAACAAAATAGCCTTGATTTTTGTCTCTTCATGCCCAAAGCCTATAATATTTACTATCTGGCCCTTTAAGAAAAGGTTTGCATATTATATATGTAGTATTTAATAATTATAGGACAGTAAATTAATAAAAATGTAATTAGTTATATATAACTCACTATCAGAAAATATCAAAATAATAATAAAATCATTAAGAGACTTTGTTTAAAGGCTATGCAGTCTCTGAGCAGAGTGATTATTACAAAATCATTTGAGATCAAACTAATGAAAGATAACATAAATATCTTTATGTATCTTTTAATCACAGTGGATCCCCAGCCATAATGTAACTGCCCTTCAATTATTCTCTGGCCTGGGTTTTCTATTAGTATATTCCATGAGCTAGATAATGGGTCTCTTTACTCTGACATCTCCTTAAAACAAATCTATATGTGCCTTTGCTATTGCTTTTATGATTTTAGCACACTTTATTTTTAGTCTCTGAATAAGATGTTTTCAGGTTTATTTGGTCTGCTTGTTGAAAGAGCAACAGCAGGCAGGGGCCACAAAAAGACACTGCAAGCCTAGGGCTGAAAGCTACCACTGGTAATATTTTCCCTCATGAATGTCAAAGGAAGATGAAAGATCCAAAAAACGCACATGATGACATGATGATATCATCAGAAAGAACTAAAGAGCTTGTAGTTTGAGATGAATAAAGGCACTATTTCCTAAATACAGTCTTACAAATTAACTTGCAAGAAACAGGAATGTTTTCCTTGGTACAGCAAAATAAAGATGCCTCCAGGTAAAACCCGGGACAGGTTTTAGGGGCTAGCTTCAAAGAGATACACTGTAGATTTCATTTCAACCAGTTTTAAAATATATTTGTGAAGCACAAAACCATTTTGGGAGGATTTTGTTTTCAACAGAAGTCAGCCCACTGACATTATCCTTACTTGAAATCTTCCACCTCTTTCAGAAGAGAGAAGCTGGAAAAAATTAGGAGAACTAAAATGGGATGCCTCGGGGCAAAGCGTTCTCAGAGATGTGGCAATGCTTACTCCTTTTAAAAAAGTTATACTTGACTTCTCTAGCTCTGAGGCACAAAGAGATCAGAAAAAATAACAGGAACAAAGAAATAATAAACTAGACATTAGGAGTCATTAACTATAACTGTGTTAAGGAAATCTGCCCTACACTGAGGACTGAAGTGCTCACTTATTTAACAAAGAAACGACCTGGAATAGAACTTTCACTGTGGTTCTTCTAACCTGGTTTTTCTTCTGTAGTACTGTAGCCTAACAGAACGCCAAGATAGCATTTCAGTATGTATACACTATGCTATATTCAACTCCCAAATCAACGTAAATAACGAAAATAATCTGTGATGAGAACCCAGTCCTCATTCCACAATGATCAGTAATGAGGCACAGAGTAAAGAAAGCCTGGGGGCAGCTCTTCATAGTCTCTGTAAGGAGTGGGCAAAGACTCAAGTAGAAACACAGTAGGAACCTGGGCACAAGGGGTTCACAGTTGATTAATGGCTGGGTATGGCTGGGTTCCCAGAATATTGTACTCTAAGCAGGGATTTTAACCATCTCAATCCCTCTTTTTTCTTCTGTGATCTTATTTTTGCCCCTTTCACACTGCCTCCTTCCAATCTAACTAATGTAACAAGTTTATATATTTTGGGTATTTTTTAGAAATAAAAAACATGTAATAATAATAAAATAACAATCATATTTACTTTTCAAACATAAAGATGAAAGACTTTTTAAACCAAAAATTAAGTAACTTTTTACCAGATTAACATGAAAAAAATCTAAAAAATAGGTTATAAACTTAGTCTTTACCTATATAATATTATATATGTATTTATCATCAATCTAATTAAAGGTTTTAAAGGATTTTTTTTGCTTTCTCTCTTTAGAATACATTGTCTACAATAAAAAACAAAACTTTTACTTCTATAGCTGTAGACTCTATTGTTGTTAAAAAATGTAGGTACAGAAATATTTTTTCCCATGATTTCTTAAAACACATGATCCATTTATTGAGTGCACACCTTCAATCTTTCAGAATAAAGTGCAAGAAATCTGCTATAGGTAGGGAATAGGTGTTGTTATTAATGCAGAGACCCTATCAGCTCCCAGAGGATCTGAATAAAACAATATTGTAATAATGAAACTATTGTCCAATAAAAAATTATATTCTTTCTTTTGACCTAGGAAAAAGTTTCTTAGGAAAGCATATGACGTAAGTGATCAGACTATTGCTTTTTAAAAGGAAAGATGTCAGTATAAACTCAGAGAAGTGTAAACTCTAGAATTACTCACTAAAGAAACATTCAAAATCCAATTTAAATGAGACAAATATTTTGCACACAATTATTTGGCAAATGTTAGCAATAAACACTAAATGCCCTATGTGTATTCAGTGAAGAAAAATGTGAGTAAAGAGGAAACCGCACTAGACCTCGACCAATTAACAGTTTATGTAAAAACTATGGCAAAGAAAATGTTTTGCCCTCCAGATAAAAAATCCATTTAAAACATCAAAAGGAACTTAATCTAAATGTCTCATGCCAGCAAATTAAATCATTATGGAGCAGGGTAGGAGTGATGGCAGAGAGAAATTCATAATTTGCAGATGACTTCATTAAGAAACAGCTGTTGCTGTTGATGTAAGGAGAGTTGCTATTCCATTTCTACTGAAAAGCTTCAGAGGACAAAGTTCTGTACTAGAGCAGACACACAGATATAAGCATATTACAGGATATGGTCTCCAGTGTTCCTGGGTGGTATGGACCCAAATCAGACCATCTTGATTCAAGTCTTAGTTATGCAATTTCCTTGAGTAACTGCTTTAGTCATTCAGAGACTGTTGGCTTATCTGGAAAATGATCATAGTCATAACACTCACCCCATTAGGTAATTGTGTAAATTATATGCAATGATATATGTGAAATATTTAGCACAATGCTTTACACATAGTAAACATTTGTGTTAGAGCTATTTTTACTTTATCAAGTTCCTCTAGCTTAAGCATAAATGGTTGAATAACATGAAATGCTATGGGCCACACTGCATCATGGAATTGCCCTGCATGGGCCCAAAATGAAAGATTTCCCTTATCAAAATGCTACTTACCTTCAAAATATATTTTGAAAAATATGCTATGAAAAAACCCTAAAAGTCATACCAAGCAGAAGGTAGGATAGTTGTTTTTTTTGTTGCTTCCTAGACCTGGGCTAGATGGCCCAATGTTCTAACACATCATTCTCACACAGGAATGAGCAGAGAAACTTGGGGTGGCTATTAGAATCTTGGGGACCACAAAACCTAATCTCCTCATCGTGCAGATATGAAAATGAGGCCTAGAGAGGCTGACTTGCCTATCATCATGACATAATAAGGAAAATAGCAGGATGGAATGAAAATCTTGGTCTCTTCGATTTTTTTCATTCCACATTCTTTACTGTCTGCATCTACTTAATCTTATTGTTTTATCCCCTTTATTAAGATATTTTACAGTTTTTTTGTAAAAACATAAATACAATTAGTGAAAAAAAATTTTTAAAGTACCCTTTTAATACAAAATCGGAATAAAGACAGAAACTACCCAACAACTGGTTTATTCCTAAAGAAATATGTAAAATATCTCAACAGCCTTTTCTCCTCCAGTTTATTCCATACATTTAAGGAATTTCCTTTGGAAAGCCTAGGTCTAGCAAGATCAGATGCTCTGTATATCTGTGTAGAGACTGCGGGGCTCCTGACTCAGAAAGTTTCAACCTACCAGATAACAAGAAAATTATCGAAGATAAAATGTTATTTTAAAATTATCTTGTAATTGCTCAAGTAATATATGTGAACACTTAGAAATTTCCAAATACATGTTCCAAATTTTGAAATATAAAAAAAAAAAAAGAAGTCTGAAGTCTTCTCTAAATTGTAGTCTCAATTTCTGGTCCCTAAACCCTAACGGGTATGTATCATTGTTGTAATTTTGGTGTCACACCAAGCTTGTCCAACCTGCCTTATTTTGTTTTTGTTGTTCTATTTTGTTTAGTTTTGGGTTTTTAGCAGCCCGAAGACATGGTTTTTAGTTTCCGTCTATAATGATAAGCAGAAAAGAGGGATGAGGAAGGGTCTTTACTGGCCTAACCAGAAAGAGAAACTAATAATCTATGGCTGTATTCTTTCCTTGGACACTTTTGCACTGTATACTTTTCAGATAAGTTTCTGGGGACTTGCATACACACATATGTAGTTCACATTTGGTGTGCATCTTTCCAATAAAGTGTTACGGACTTATACACATGTATATTTATTTTTCCAGTACAAATTTTGTGCAATTTGTTTGTTCACCCAACAGGATGACTTCAAAATCTGGCCATGTAATTAAATCTAGCCATGTAATTATAACAAATAATTACTGTGTAGTAATTATTTCACACTATTAGGTAAACTACACACTATTCATTGTTCTAGTTGTTGAAAACATGGGCAAAGTTCTTTCTGTCATAGAGCTTACATTCTAGAAACCTTACCTTCTTTTTAATCACAACAGTGCAATCCAGCATATGAATACACCAGTTCTTTGGTGATTTTTTTTTCATTATTATAAATTCTGGAGTAAATAACATTGCGTATGAGTCCATGTACACATGTGAGTACTTCTTTAGGGCTTATAAACATGAAACAGCTGGCTCATTGCATATCTGCATTTCTAATCCTAACATTTACACTGAGTTTGCTTTCAGAATTGTTGGGGGCAATGATTTTTAACATTGTTAGCAGCATATATGCATGTACACTTACCGCATGCTCTTATCAGGTCATATTGTCAGATTCTTAATTTTTGCTAATACACCAAATGAAAGTGGGCATCTCATTATTGCTTTACCTTGCATTTCCCTGATTACTAATTAGGTAGGGCATCTTTTTGAATCTTTCATAGTCACTATGTTTCATTTTTTAAATATTTCCACATTCAAGGCTGAGAATGAAGTAATTATGAAAAAGCAATTTGTTGGATTCATCTGGGTGAGTTGAGGGCTATTATGAAGAATTACTTTAAAACTTCAACAAACACACTCTGAGAGCACATGGCAAAGTGGGTAGTATTAACTCCTGAAATATTTCTTACCCCACCAAAAGCCTTCAGGCTCACAGCAGTACATTGCCCTTTCCCCTACCCAACTGTTTCACTGCAGGAGCAAATTCCAAATTATACGGCCCAAAGTGAGCTGGCTCAGAGGCCACTGCCTTCAAGGGTTTTTTTCAGTGGGTCTATGGAGAGCTGGGAGTAGATATATTTAATGATCACCGTGTGTATGTCAGGGCATCTGTATAGGGCTAAGGGCCCCACAGGGTTGTGGGGTGTCCCTTATGCTGTGCTGAGGTGCAGGATTCAAGACATAAAGAGACAGGACACAGAAGTACAAAGAAAGCGCAGCTGGGCTCAGCGGGGCCACGTCACCTATAAGGGGAGATAGGCGAGGCCCGGAATGTCCAGAAGCATCTCTATTTATTGGGTATAGGTAAGGGGACAGGGTAGTGAGTGAAGCCATCTTTAAGGATAGTGATAGGGTTATGAGCAATAAAACAAGGGATCCACCCCCATTAGGTCACCTAGGCTAGGAGGTGGACAGTGTGCAGCAAGGGGTCCATCCCCTTAGGTCACTGAAGCAAGCAGGTGGGCAGTGTGCAGTAAGGGGTCCACCCCTATTAGGTCACCAAGGCATGGAGGTGGGCCATGAGCAGTGAAAAGGGTGCAGTGTGCAATATCTCTTATCTATAGGCATGGTACTTCAAAGAAGATTTATAGGAGGATGCTTTTGAGCCAGCACAGTAACAAGAGCTGATAAAGTTCACAGTCACCAAGCTGCGACTATCTGGAGGGGTTTTGAGCCCTCGGATGCTTGAGGGATTGCTGGTCTGAGGGCAGCCTTCCACAAGAACTGGATGCAAGGTCCTACAGCTTATCAGGAGGAGCGGCTCTTGCCCCAAGTCTGCCATATAGCGGGTATCTTTATGATACTGGACGCTGCCGCCTGGGCCATGGATTCTTGTGCTGGTATAATTGTTTTTCCCTTAAATCATGCCCTGCACCATGTCTGCTCTAGACATTCCTCCGATTATAAGTTGCTTATTACTTAATTCATGCTCCATACCATGTCTGCTCTAGGCATCCCACAGATTACGAACTAAGATATAGTTATAGTTATATATATATATATTTTTTTCCATATATAGATATATATATATATGGAAATAACTGAGTAGTAAGATATTCTTTAGGCACTCATTCTATGAATGAATGATTATATATGGAGGATTATATAAAATGAAATAACTGAGTAGTAACACTATAAACTGAGATATTCTTCAAGCCCTAATTCTATGAACTAATATATGATTATATATAAAGGATTATATACAAAGAAATAACTGAATAGTAACACCATAAACTGAGATATTCTTCAGGCACTAATTGTGCCAGGATTCTGCTTAGCTCTCTTTCCTCGGTGCCTATATGGGAGGTTACCCACAATCTGTGGTCTAAAACTACCTGTGTTCTCTAAAAGGTAAATTATGATGATCATTATAGATACCAAGTAGCAAAAAAAAAGTCTGACAATATTAAGTACTGGTGAGGATATAGAGAATATAAGGTAGCTGAAACTCACACTGTGCAAGTACTTTGAAAAATTATCTGGCAGTTCCTATTAAAATTAAACTCACAAACACACTCTACAATGTAGTGATTCTAATTCTACATGTAGATCTAAGAGTAACATGTAAAAAGGCATGAAAATCACATATAAATGTTGTTCATGAGGCATTATTTGTAACAGTATCCAATTAAATTAACCCACCTCTACCAAGGGTAGGATGAATAGATAAAATATGGTGTAGTTATATTAATATAATGGCATACCATACAGCAATGAAAACTAATTAATTACTGTGACATCCAGTAACAAGGAGACATTATAGGAGTATAATGTTGAGAAAGAGACACTAGACGCAGGAAAATACATACTGCATAACTATATATATAAAATTAAAAATGAGACAAATTTAATCTGTGGTGTTGGGTATCTCTCCAGGGAACGGATATTGGCTAGAAGGGGGCATGAAAAGAGCTTCTGGGGGACTGCAGGGCTCTATTAGCTAAAAATATGTTCACATTTAATAACAATGTACAGCAAAGTAATAATAAAGAACTGACATGATAGTTTCATGGCCATGAAAATGAATCCAAGAAATAGAATAAAAACAAGTGCTAAATCAGAAATGAAAGACTCACATTAAAAGAGAATCTAATACTGTAAAACTGTTTAGCATAGAAAAGCAACCACTTAGTAATTTGGTTTGTTCAAATTTGCATTAAGTGACATTTTAGATTAAATTCACTATTTCCTGTCTCCTACCATAAAAAGTGTTTTTCTAATATCATAATATGTGGGGAAAAAATTCGTGTATTAAATTTAAAAAGCACTTGTATTAAGAAGTGTAAAATTATGTCTGGAGAAGAAAAAGTTTCTATGAGACAGCCCCTCCCTCCCTTTTTGCATTGTTACATTACTCCTAGTAATATTTGTTGCCTTTGTACTTTACTTATGAAATAATGAGGTTGAGATTTTGTAGTCAAGGAAATGTGAGGTAATTAAGAACGTCACTTTTTCTGATTCCTTCCATAGAGCTTCTGAGTTTACTTGCTCAAGTTAACACAATAATAACAGCTGTCATTCTCTTAATATTTTGATGTTTATCTGCAATGTATGTATGAAACTATACATTACAGTTCCCTCTTTCTTAGCTTAGAATCTCAGAATGTCATTCTTAACCTAGCAATCATGATGTGACTAGATTTTCATCTGACTCTGTAAATATCACTCAATTTGGACTTAAAGTGTCACTGAACTTTGCAGCCATCAAGTTAATGGATTTGCATCTGTAAAAAAAAAAATCCTTTGTTTTTAGAATTAAAGAAACAAACCTATTGCCAATAATAATTTTTTAAAGGTTCAGACTCTTAAAGGTACAATCAAGGACATATGGGATCACTGTTTCCTCATTTCCCCTAAAAAAGAGTATGGTTAACAAAACTCAGTGAATTATCTTTTTTAGCGTTAAGTTTAAGATATTACAGCTTTAGATTTAAGTGGGTCAAAATTGAGAATGAACTTTGTTCTGCTAGTGATCTGTATATCCCAAACATCCTAAGCATGAAAAAAAGCAAGAAAAAAAGATGCTACACAACTGTTTTCTCAAAGAATAGCCAAGTGTGCGCAAGCAAGGCCAAGAGCTAAGGTAGCGGGGGAGCCTGCATCACATGGAGGATTCCTACACTGTCTAGACTGGTGCTCTAGCAGGTCATTGGCCGCTGGTGGCTACTTAAATTAAGTACAATTTAAAAGTTCCCGCAATACCCTGCCACATTTCAAGTGCTGAATAGCCACATGTGGTTAGTGGCCACCACACAGGACAGCATGGATATAGGCTATTTCATCACTGCAGGAAGTTCCATTGGTCAGCACTCCTCTAGGTGTAAATTAACTTTAGTCCATGGTGCCTAAAATTATCAGCTGTAGCTGTATAAAATCTACAAGTGTGGCATTTGGATCCAAACAATAAGCAAACATGATTTGGTCCAGAAATAGAGCATTTTAAAAAGTAGAGGTAATAATTATAATCATGAAACCATGCCAAGGCTTCAGTGCAGGCTAGTAGGAAAAATACTCTGCCCAGAATGAAGTGGCTTAGGCTGTACACCTGTGTTTCTTTCAGCCGCATGTCCTTGCCCATGACCTCACCTGTCAGAAGTGGCCATATATTACCTTCCTGACTTCATGGGTGGGATGGGATGTCAAACAAGCCTAAATAATGGTAAGCACATGTTGTTTGTACTATTATCTTTATATTAACCAATACTTTTACTATCATCAGTAAACCTGACTCTGGCAAATGCCTCACTGAAGTTCTCAGAACTGAAAAGCGCTGATGCGGTCCCATAAATCACTGGTCCCATTAAAGAAATTTGATTGGTCAATTCTTCTTCACCAGTGGATTACAGAACACTACTCTTTATATACTGGATTGATTCTAAATTCAATTTCTATAACAAACTATGTTCAAATATATACCTTTATAAAGGGCTATATGCCCAGAATAAATAAACAATACTGTTCACTGAAATAAAGACAGTGGGAATGACTTCCAGTTACACAGTTAGTTATAATGGCTATAGCCAAAAAGACAAGAGTATCCTAGAGGTAACTAACTGTAGTTACATATATTAATTTTTTTTATCTGCTCATATATTGTCCTTCCAAGATTTTATATGTGATGACTCATTCTGAAGGATCCCCTCATCTTACCTTCTCATTCTGTACACATCTAGTTGCAGTACCTACTGGGCAAGTTGGTTCTTCATTCCTACTGGGCAAGTTAGTGCTGTGGGGTGCTACCATGGTACCCCTGCTTTTTTCCGTTCCCCTTGAGAGCAAAGAAACTAAAAGAGAACCTTTCAGACCTTGGTTAGAAGAAAGCACTGGTAAGTTGTAAAGGCAGCTATATGTCTGACTGGATGAGGGAAGAAGAAGGGAGCATATGTGGATTTCCTCATAAGAAAAAGTAAACATGGTCTGCCACAGGATTTATGCCAAGAAAGTGAAGAACTGTTATGTGATACTCCTCAGCTTCTTTAGTTGGAAACCTAAAACTACTCCAAGCTGGTGGGAGAAGAGATGAAGTACGATCCATAAAGACATTAAACATCACCTAGAGAGGGAAGTTGGGGAATGACTTCACGAGTAGACTTTTAAAACTAAGAGAATTACATACCAGAACTTGTTAATTTCCTTCTGGATAAAATCACCACTACTTATAATAGTGTCTTACCTTTATTTTGCTATGCTTTTTAAAATAAATTTTTAATTTTAGCATAGTTTTAGATGGACAGAAAAATTACAAAGACAGTACAGAGTTCCCATACACTTCACACTCAGTTTCCCTATCAACATCTTTCAATATTAGGGTACATTTGTCACAATTAGTGAAGCAATACTGACACATTATTATTAACTAAAGTTCTCCCTACATTTAGATTTCCTTAGTTTTTACCTAATGTCCCTTTTCTGTGCCAGGATCCCATCCAGGATACCATATTAAGTTTACTGGCCATGTATTTTAGGTTACTCTTGACATGACAAAGTTTCAGACCTCCTCTGTTTTTAACTTTGACAGTTTTAAGGAGTACTAACTAGTTGGAAATTTTGTAGAATGTCCCTCAATTGGGATTTGTCTATTTTTTTTCATTACACTGGGTTATATGTTGTTGGGAGAAAGACAATGGAGGTAAAGCGCCATTCTCATGTTATATTAAGGGTATATACTATCAAGGGTCACTGTTGATTTGACTTGACTGATTTGGCTGGGACCAAATCAGGTAGCCCCACTGGAAAGTTATTCTTTTCCCCCTTCCCATTCTGTACTCTTTGAAAGAAAGTACAATGCACAGCCTACACTTAAGGAGTAAAAAGCCATACTCTACCTTCTTGAGGGTAAAATGTGCGCATAAATTATTTGGGAATTTTTATGTGGTAAATTATTCTCTTTTCCCCATTTATTTACTTGTTAATCACTTATTTATATCAGATTCATTGATGGTTATCTTATACTTTGGGTTATACTCCCATACTGCTTTATTTATTTTGTTCTCAAATTGTTCCAACGTTAGCCATTGGGAGCACTATCCTTTAATTCCTGTGTCCCTTTTACATACCCCTCTCATTATAATTTTTTAAAAGCATTTATTTATTTTCTGGCACTACAAGATGATCTAGGTCATCTTGTATATTTCCTGCCCCAGGAATAAAGTCAGAGATTTCTCCAAGGAGCACTGGCTTCTAATATTGAAAAATCACATTATAAACCAAGATCTGAGTGCTAGGTGACTTCTTTGGTTTTTAAAAATGCTTTCATACACACATATTTCTCTTTTCCATAACCTTGATAACAGGTAAACCAAGGCTTAGAGTACTTAAAGGATTTGCTCTGTGCCAAGGCTAATAATAGTGGTGTTGGAATAAAACTCAGTCTTCTAACAATAGTTCCATGTCCTTTGACTATTTAATGTCTTTTGGATAAGAACACAGCATCAAAGACCAGATTAACAACCTATAATAAAAAGAAAAAGACACTTCCAGATAATAGTCCTTTTAGGAGGGAAAATTTAATAGGGGTAATTGACAAACTCTCTCTTCTATCTAGAAGAAACAACTGAAGATTCTTTCTTTTATGGAAAGATATTTTATATATTATGGGGGTGATTTAGCTTCCCTCACCCCCAGGGACATCTGGCAATGTCTGGAGAGATTTCTGGTGGGTGGTGGTTGCTGTTACTAGTATCTAGTGGATAGAGGCCAGGGAACTTGCTAAACATTATATAATGCACAGAACAGCTCCTGTGCATTACCAGTTCAAAATGACAATAGTGCTAAGGTAGCAAAAGGAAGAAAAACTAGAAGTTCTTCATCTAATCTACACTGTTTATATTCTTACTGAATTATTTTTCTATTGGTGGCTATGAGGGATCACCATGGAAGACCCTATCTCATTCTGTGACCTCATGAGTTAGCCTATTAGAAGAAAAAGTCCCCACTTGGTTAATAAACATGGCTCTCAAATCAGATAAGAGACTCCTATGGTCCTTTAAAAAAAAATATTGCTTAGAGACATGGTCTTTCCCTGTTGCCCAGGCTGAAGTGCAGTGGTGTGATCATAGCTCATAGGCAGCTTTGAAATCCTCGGCTCAGGCAATCCTGACTCAGCCTCCCAAGAAGGTAGGACTGCAAGTGCCACAGTCCTGGTCTTGAACTCGTGGCCTCAAGTGATCCTTCTGCCTCAGCCTCCCAAAGTGCTGGGATTATAAGAATGAGTCAATATACTCAACCACCTGTAGTTCTTATGTACGGGACAAATAGAAGAAGGCACACTCTTTAAACAAGCTGCTTTGAGCCAGCAGGGCATGAACACAGTTATGTATAATGATACTGAAAAGGAAAGGCTTATCTCCATATAAGCCATCATTTACTGGCCATGTTGACTATCTTCTGTTTCAGGAACAAGTTGTGTGGAACAGTTAGGTGACTTTGAAAATATGCCAATGAATGGGTGAACCTTACTAAGTAGATGGCTGTTACCCAGAAACTGTTGTTCACTCCTCAGTGACCTCAATTTGGAGAGGAAGTGAGTGACTGAATCTCTGTTTGTTGATATGGTGACCACCTAGCACTTTGACAGGAGAAAGAATCCTTTTATTTACCAGGATCTCTCTTAGAAGCTTTAGAAAAAGCTTGCTCACTCTTGACACTAACAAAGTTGATGAAGGACATTTTCTGAGCAAAGCTAGGTGCCCTGGGGCCATAAATTGCCACTGCCCTCCATGACAAAATTCAGAGCTTTGGTGGCAGTACTATCTGGGGTGAACGTATTTGTGGAGCTCCCAATGAAGTAGGCACGTGTATATAAAGTAGTCAATGCACTGGCATGGTCTGGTACACATAAACTGCTTCTCAATGGTAGCAAAAATAAAGAAGAAATGTTTACCTAGTGCTTTCAATCTATCAGGCCTTGTGCTAAGTTCTTTATACATTAACTCACTGAATCTTCTAATTATCTTATGAGATAAGTACCACTATCAGGTTTATTTTCATATGTGGAACTAATTGTGATAACTGGCCAATGCTAAACAATCAAAAAAGTAGATTAGTATTTGAATCTCTAACAGTTTAACTATGACACTTGGGTGCCTTCATTACTGTATTACATTGTCCTCTATCTGTACCGTAGCAACTATAATTTATTATTATTAGCCACTGTACCAGGCTGTTTGTTCTTAAAACTTGGGTGGCAGAGGTATAAGGTGATGAAGGTCAAGAATGTTGAGTTAACCTTCCCAGTATCTTCCAATGATTAAATTCTGCTTAGCATTTCAAATCAGACAAGATGATAATCAGAGACCTAGCAGAGAATCAAGGGCATTTTGTGGATTTTGTAAAAAATTCCGTTATAAGTCTCAGTTGGGCCCTAGTAAAGGAAATGGCGTCTACAAAGTATGGGTGGTATGTGGTTCAGGACAAAGCTGACATCCACATCATTAACTAGGCAAAGCAGAGCTGTGGCCAGATGCCCACGAAGACTCATGCATCTTCAGACCTAGATAGAGAGCAGAAGACAGTGGAGGTGAGGAGGGCAGCTGGCACACTACAAATGAAGAAGGCAGTGGGGGTGGACAGGAGACCCTGCTTCCTGTGACCCTCTGGCTCTGAGGTTATGGCTTTGATGAACACACACAGCTATAGAAAAGTGAGGAGCCCCTGGACACCAGGTCTGCCAGGTCTGACACCTCAAGGAAAAAGAGCTGGTCAGATGCGGCTAGACAGAACTCTGCAGAAAACATGGCCATTCTATTTGAGAATATCTCTAACACCAGAGTACAAGGGTGGAAAAGGAAGTATCTCCTTTTCCTGTCTAATGAAGAATTGTGCCTGGCTCATGGTAAGCACCACACGAATGTTAGAAACAGTATACACAAGGCTGCACAAGTGGAAGAGTAAAAGGTGAGAGGGTGAGCCAGCGCTCCCAACACTGCAGAGTTAAGCAGCAGCAAAAACAACCCAGAAAAAGTCAGCAATGCTGCTGAAATACTCATAAAATGTCATAGCAGACAGAGAGAAACACTATTTTGTTTGGTGCAATGAAGCTATTCCTCCTGTCTCCCGACCTCAAGTTTCTATGTACTAAATATAATTTGACAAAATAATATCCAAATAGTTTGATGTGGGAATTCATTCAGGGTAGTGGCAAAAATATTAAGTGAAAATTTTAGAGAAAGTTATAGAATATAGTCTCAAACCCTTTTGGAAGGCCTAAGGGTTTTTTCTATAGTTCTTGGCTGAAGCTAGCCTTGTCTCCTTAAATAAATTAGAGTAGAAACAAAGGAATGTGGGAGTTTACCTAACTTGTTTACTCATGTGGTCTTAAAACTAACCTTTGAGCTGGATGGCCCTCTTGGGGGGGGGTTGACCAGGGAGATTACCCTATTAGAGGTAATCTGCTTTGGGCATTGGAACCTGGCCTTTAATCTTTCTCTATAAGTGGGTTGATTTAAAGCCTCTGTTATTAAATCTATACTGAATGAATGGGGAGAGGGCGAACTAGTCAGCGTCCTGTAGCGGTGATCTCTCTCTGTGAGTGGCTCATGGCCCCTTGGCCCACTCGATCATTGGATATTTGTGTCTGAGTGCATTTATTCATCTGTCGTGCAGCTGGGGTCTGTGATATGGACCCTGGCAGTTTGAGTGTTTTTCTAATTGATACAATTTGTGCTATTAACAACTAAATGGAAAAGAAGAAACTTTTTTTCCCTAGATCAAACCGATCACTAATAATGGGTTGATTTATAGTTGGGGAAAAATTTAGAAAAGATTTAAATGCTAGTACGTAAAACTGTCTTAAATTTCGATTAACCAAACTCTCTCCCATTGCATATATTTTGTTGTTGTTGTTGTTGTTAGAGCAATGCAAAAATTGAAAAACAGTTAAGGATTTTAATGTACTTTTAGGAAATAACAAATGTGATGTTAATCCTAGAAACTTATATAACCTATCTTATTACACAAAAATGTTAGACAATGTTATTGTCTCTTTTTAGTGTTGGATTTTCTTTACAATTATCCTATTGTACTAAATTTCATATAATTGGTGGTATCACATAGCTTGAAGAGAAAAGGTATGGCTATTTTAGGGTGTAATTTATTACATAAAAACTTTTTTGAGTTAGTGATTGGTGAAGGCTATTTCATCCATCAGTAATATTTATGAAGCACTTACTATGTAGAAACCTCTTGCACTGTAAAACATTTTTCCTTCTTCTTCACCTTGAATCTCCTCTCCTCCCCTTCCAGAGAGAAATGGGTGCTATCATACAATAAGTACAGTAGGGTTTCTTTTGTTTGTTTGTTTACTATGGTTAACATTTTTTAAAGACCTCAGACGCTCTTCCTTGTTTTGCATCTTGAAGCAACTTGTCCTTAGAGTTTGGGTCAGAGGTACAAATTCTTGCTAAACTACAAAGAAAGGGTAGGAGTTGTTTATTTCTCTTTCTTTATTTAGAATATTGACTTCCAGAGCTGAATAAGGTTATGTGAGTAGAATCACACTCCTCTACATTAAGAAAATGGTTTCCACAGCTATTTGCCTTTAGCTCAGAAGTTCAGAGACTCAGGTGCTGGCTGTAGTTCTAAAACTAACTCACTACGCAACTTTGGGGAAGTCACTTTAGGTCTCTGAGCCTTAGTTTCCTCATCTAAAATAAAGAGCTGGAGTTAATTTCTCAAGTCTTTTCCAGTTCTGGGGCACCCAAGATTTCTTTGTATTCATCTTTATAAACAGGAGTAACTACTAATGAGGGCCATGTAGAATCACCACACAGAACCCATCCCAACGAAACTCAGAACTTGTCTCTGGCACCTTCTTGGATTACTGAAATCCAGCAGACCTGTCACTTGCTCCACAGCAGAACGATTCTTTCCAGATGTTTTACATACCACATGACTCTCACAGTTCAGCTGTCAAGAATCCAGAGACCACTACATTTTTGGCAGCTTTGCAGGTCTGAAGTCTTTCCTGTTTGATTTTATTGACTATCCAATAAAGCAAAGAGTTGTGCAAAATGTAGAGGCTTTCTGCACAGGGTGTATACCCCCACAACCACTGTCATCTTTTTCCCTCTCCATTTAATTTTAGCTGTGTCAGAAAGGGCAAGTAATGTGATGGGTGGGGGGGTGGGTGCTTGTTTTGTTTTCTCCAGATACCACTGCTGCTAACTTCTGTATTTTATCTACCGTCTTCCTCACCTCTCATCCCTCATCCAAATAACTATCCATATTTCCCCTGTTTCTAAATCTACTAACAAAACAACTTATTTTTCTCTTCCAAAATAAGAAATAAAAAAAACTGCTTCCTTTTATCATAAGGTAATAATCTCATTTTTAAGGAAAAAGATAGTATTTCATACATTGATAAAAGAAAAAATACATAGATAATGTAAAAGTCAGCTCAGGGAATGCTGACTTTCTATGGTTGAGAAGTGTGGTGATGGGAAGAGGAGAAAATGAACATATGTAACAGCCACTATGTAACAGGTTTGATATAGATATCATATCTTATGTAATATCCACTACAAGCTCTGTGATAGATATTGCTATTCCCATAAAGCTGAAAAAGGCATTGAGAATGATTCAAAGAGATGAAATAATCTGCCCACATTTAAGCTGAGTCACTATACTTTCCATTATATCATTATTGTGCCACTATCTGAAAACTAGTAAAACAACAACAAATATTTCACTTCTTTATTGAAATCAGTTAAATATCTTAAGAGGCAAAATCATACAAATAGCATGGTATACAATAAAAGAATTATGTACTTCCCCTGAAGTGATGGTATTAAGTATTTACCTGTAGCTAAGTAACTGTTTTCTACCGTTACTTCATTTTTTCTACCTCCTGCATATGAATGGATTTTGTATCCATCTTCTATTAAGGATGCAGTTCTATTAAAATCATTTTTTTTCACCCTCAGAACATTTTACCATGGCCAAATGTAAATATTTACTCTCATTTGACAAGCAAGGGCCTTTTAAAAATAGAAAAACAGTCTGCATAACTGCTTTAAACTTTTGAACTTTATTTCATACACAAGAACTACAGACAGTCAATAGCCTCAAGCACAACTCAATGTCATTCAATACTCATTTGTTTGTATGTTCATTTGTGTCTTCTCCTCCTAAATATAAAAAGGTTCTAAATTGCTTGCAAAATATAGTTAGAAATGGGAGAGAGGTGTATAAAGAATAAGTAACACAAACCAAAGAAAGTCAGAGCAAAATGTCAAGACTAGGAAGAGAAAAAATAAATGTAAACATACAGCAATATTGGAACTATATGTTAGTCTCAAACTAGGTTCTGAGCTTATTAGCATGCAAATGAGGGAAAAAATATATACATGCACAACCAGTTATACAATTCTAAAGATTTACAAGAGAAAAAAAGTGTCAGTTCATAAACAGAAGTAAAACTTTTAACAGAATTTGTACCTAAAAGAAATTTCTCAAGAGCTGTCATCTAAAAAACAAAGAACAAAATTTAAGTAGGAAAGGTATTACTACCAAACATCCCATTTCAACCTGATTAAAATTATTATTTAAAAATCAACTGTAGACTCGCAGCGAGCACAGGCTGAGGCGGGACGCAGAGTTAAGAGCAGTCCCGAGTCTGAGCCTTTCTGTCGGCCTCCAGCACCGCCGGTGCCATGGACTCCACCCTGCCACGGCCTCTCGGTGACGCGGTGCAGCGGCCACTTGACCAGGCATCTTGCTGGGTGTGACGTGGTATAATGCATATTTTATAAAAGTGGAATATCATGGAAACTGAACAACTTGCTCTTGAATGTTGACTGGATAAACAATGAAATGAAGGCAGAAATAAAGATGTTCTTCGAAACCAACGAGAATGAAGACACAACATACCAGAATCTCTGGGACACATTTAAAGCAGTCTCTAGAGGAAAATATATAGCAATAAGTGCGCACATGAGAAGCAAGGAGAGATAAAAAATTGACACCCTATCATCAAAACTGAAAGAGCTAGAGGAGCAAGATCAAAAAAACTCAAAGTCTAGCAGAAGACAAGAAATAGCTAAGATCAGAGCAGAACTGAAGGAGATAGAGACACAAAAAACCCTTCAAAAAATCAATAAATCCAGGAGCTGGTTTTTTGAAAAGATCAACAAAATAGACCACTAGCCAGATTAATAAAAAAGAAAAGAGAGAATAACCAAATTGATGCAATAAAAAACGATAAAGGGGATATCACCACAGATTCCACGGAAATTCAAACCATCATCAGAGATTATTACAAACAACTCTATGCACACAAACTAATAAACCTGGAAGAAATGGATAAATTCCTGGACACTTGCCTCCTGCCAAGCCTAAACCAGGAAGAAGCCGAAACCCTGAACAGACCCATAACAAGGTCTGAAGTTGAGGCAGCAATTAAGAGCTTATCACCCAAAAAAAGCCCAAGTCCAGATGGGTTCACAGCTGAATTCTACCAGACATACAAAGAGGAGCTGGTACCATTTCTTCTGAAACTATTCCAAACGATACAAAAAGAGGGAATTCTTCCCAAATCATTTTATGACACCAACATCATCCTGATTCCAAAACCCGGCAGAGACTCAACAAGAAAAGAAAACTTCAGGCCAATATCCATGATGAACATAGATGCAAAAATCTTCAATAAAATACTGACAAGCCGATTGCAACAGCACATCAAAAAGCTTATCCACCATGATCAAGTAGGCTTCATCCCGCGGATGCAAGGCTGGTTCAACATACGCAAGTCTATAAACGTAATTCACCACATAAACAGAACCAAAGACAAAAACCACATGATTATCTCAATTGATGCAGAGAAGGCCTTTGACAAAATTCAACAGCCCTTTATGCTAAAAACACTCAATAAGCTAGGTATTGATGGAACATATCTCAAAATAATAAAAGCTATTTATGACAAACCAACAGCCAATATCATACTGAATGGGCAAAAACTGGAAGCATTCCCCTTGAAATGTGGCACCAGACAAGGACGCCCGCTCTCACCACTGCTATTCAATATAGTATTAGAAGTTCTAGCCAGAGCAATCAGGCAAGAAAAAGAAATAAAGGGCATTCAAATAGGAAAGGAGGAAGTCAAATTGTCTCTATTTGCAGACGACATGATCGTATATCTAGAAGACCCCATCGTCTCAGCCCCAAACCTCCTGAAACTGATAAGCAAGTTCAGCAAAGTCTCGGGATACAAAATCAATGTGCAAAAATCACATGCATTCCTATACACCAATAACAGACTTAAAGAGAGCCAAATCAAGAACAAACTTCCATTCACAATTGCCACAAAGAGAATAAAATACCTAGGAATACAACTAACAAGGAATGTAAAGGACCTCTTCAAGGAGAACTACAAGCCACTGCTCAACAAAATAAGAGAGGACACAAACAGATGGAGAAACATTCCACGTTCATGGTTAGGAAGGATCAATATTGTGAAAATGGCCATACTGCCCAAAGTAATTTACAGATTCAAAGCTATCCCCATCAAGCTACCAATGACCTTCTTTGCAGAACTGGAAAAAACCACCTTAAACTTCATATGGAACCAAAAGAGAGCCCGCATAGCCAAGTCAATTCTAAGCAAAAAGAACAAAGTGGGGGGCATCACACTACCAGGCTTCAAACTATACTACAAGGCTACAGTAATCAAAGCAGCATGGTACTGGTACCAAAACAGAGATATAGACCAATGGAACAGAACAGAGGTCTCGGAGGCAACACAACATATCTACAACCATCTGATCTTTGACAAACCAGACAAAAACAAGCAATGGGGAAAGGATTCCCTGTTCAATAAATGGTGTTGGGAAAGCTGGCTAGCCATGTGAAGAAAGCAGAAACTGGACCCCTTTCTGACACCTTACACTAAAATTAACTCCAGATGGATTAAAGACTTAAACATAAGACTTAACACCATAAAAACCCTAGAAGAAAATCTAGGCAAAACCATTCAGGACGTAGTAGGCAAGGACTTCATGACCAAAACACCAAAAGCATTGACAACAAAAGCCAAAATAGACAAATGGGACCTAATCAAACTCCACAGCTTCTGCACAGCAAAAGAAACAATCATTAGAGTGAATCGGCAACCAACAGATTGGGAAAAAATGTTTGCAGTTTACCCATCTGACAAAGGGCTGATATCCAAAATTTACAAAGAACTAAAACAGATTTACAAGAAAAAAACTAACAAGCCCATTCAAAAGTGGGCAAAGGATATGAACAGACACTTTACAAAAGAAGACATACGTGAGGCCAACAAACATATGAAAAAATGCTCATCATCACTGGTCATCAGAGAAATGCAAATCAAAACTACATTGAGATACCATCTCACGCCGGTTAGAATGGCGATCATTAAAAAATCTGGAGACAACAGATGCTGGAGAGGATGTGGAGAAATAGGAACACTTTTGCATTGTTGGTGGGAGTGTAAATTAGTTCAACCATTGTGGAAGACAGTGTGGAGATTCCTCAAGGACATAGAAATAGAAATTCCATTTGACCCAGCAATCCCATTACTGGGTATATATCCAAAGGATTACAAATCGTTCTACTATAAGGACACGTGTACACGAATGTTCATTGCAGCACTGTTTACAATAGCAAAGACCTGGAACCAACCCAAATGCCCATCGACGATAGACTGGATAGGGAAAATGTGGCACATATATACCATGGAATATTATGCAGCCATCAAAAACGATGAGTTTGGGTCCTTTGTAGGGACATGGATGAATCTGGAAACCATCATTCTCAGCAAACTGACAGAAGAGCAGAAGATCAAACACCGCATGTTCTCACTCATAGGCGGGTGTTGAACAATGAGAACACATGGACACAGGGAGGGGAGCACTACACACTGGGGTCAGTTGGGGGGAAATAGGGGAGGGACGGTGGGGGGTGGGGAGTTGGGGAGAGATAGCAGGGGGAGAAATGCCAGATGTAGGTGATGGGGAGGAAGGCAGCAAATCACACTGCCACGTGTGTTCCTATGCAACAATTTTGCATGTTCGTCACATGTACCCCAAAACCTAAAATGCAATAAAATAAATAAATGGGGAAAAAAAAAGTGAAAAAAAAAATAAAAAATAAAAAAAATAAAAATCAACTGTAATGAGAAAACTGATAATGACTTTTCTGTAACAGTGAATATGTAAGAATACAACTTCTGGAATTTATAAAATGTTTCAAATACAGTGAAATAATATGGGGCCACTGTTAATGTTTTATGTATGTATTCCAATTACAAACTTATACTCCATACTACAAAATGATAGTGATGATTAATCATAAACAAACAGAACAAAATAAAAACCAGAATATCAGCTATGAAACATGGGTCTTCTCTCCTTCAATCAGAAGTTATACATCATCTTAAAAATTATAAAACATATACATACACAGAAAAGACAAAAAACATAAATCTATACTTAAGTTGAAATGTTATAAACATTCACATAATTGCTAATCAGGTAAAAAATAACTTTCCAGGATACCAGAAGTCCTCTGATACCACCCATGAAAGGTAATTGCTATCCTCATATCTATGATACATCCCTACTTTTCTGGTTTTACTACCTAATTATGCTCTAGTGTAGCCCATTTTAATATCTATTTTATAAATGTAATCATAGAATATGTATTTCCTGCATTGCTGGCTTTTTCTCTCCTATTCTCTGTTTTTAAGATTCATTCATGTTGTTCATATAGCTTCATTTTCATTGATGAATAGAATGTCACTGTGTAACACACAGCATAGCGACTGCACTATTGATTTAGGCTGTTTCTAATTTGGCATAATTGTGAATGCCATAAGAACATTCTGGATGGTATATATTGCAGCCTAAAATGGCTGTGTCATAGGGAATGCTCGCCTTCAACTTTACAGGATAATACTCAATAAATTTCAAAACCAGTTCAACCAATTTTTACTCCCACCAGCAGTTTAAGGGTTCTCTTTGCTCCATATCCTCACCAACCATTGATATCCTTAGATTCTTTAATTCCAACTGTTCTGATGGATATCAAGTAGCACCTCATTGAGACTTTAATTAGCACTCTCCTGACTATTAATGAGCATAAGTACATTTTCATGTTTACTGGACATTTAGAGTTCCCTATTTGTAAACTGTCTGTCAAGTCTTTTGTTCATTTTCTCCTGGGTTGCTGTTTTCCTGTTATTGATTTATGGGTCTTTTTTATGCTTTTAGATAAAAGTCTTTTTATGATTATACGTATTCTAAATATTTTCTATTCTATAGCTGGTCCTTTTGTTCTTAGTGATTTTTTTTTTTTTTGATGAAGACACTTGTTTAATTTAATGTTTGTCAAATTTATTCACTTTTTCTTTATAATCAATCAATACTGTTTACATCCCATTTAAGAAATATTTATCTTTAAGCAATGAAGCCATTTTCTCAGATTTCCTTCTGATAGCTTTACTAGTTTGCCTTTCATATTTGTTTCTATAATCCATGTGAAGTTGCTTTTGTCTAATATGTGAGTGGGGATCAAGTTTTAAGAATTTCCATATA